AATATTTATTGCTGTTTTATTGTGAACCGCCCAGAGTCACTTTTTGTGAGATGGGCGGCATGTAAATTTGAAATATAAATAAATAAATAAATAAATAAATAAATAATTTTTGAATTAGCATTATAATTTTATAATCAAAACCTAGACTACCAAGATATATTCTAAAACTGAATGAATTTACATTTTAATAGTTTAAGTTTAAAATATTATTTCAAAGTTATCTCTGATGAAGGCTCAACCAATTTATGATATGAAATAAAGCATTCACAAGAATATTTATTTATTTTGTTAATGAACATTATAAGAGTTCTGTTGAATCAAGCCAATGGTATATCTAGTCCAGCATTTTGTATCCTATAGTAATCAACTACATTTTCCATTACATTTGAAATGGGAAGTTCAGAATGTTTTTGTGGGGGATGGGGGGCAGAACAATGTCAAGTTAATAAGGAGAAACATTACTAATCTTGGACTGAGAAGGCTACTTAGTTTTGCTAAGGCGGCAAACAATACATAGAAAATATTTCCTTTTCCTCTTTACTCTGAAAAACACACCAACTTGGCTATGGTCAGCAGCCCAGACACTATTCCCTCTAAAAATGTGAGTTTTGGGGGAAAAGGACCATCATCCCCAAAGGAATTCCTTGAGAAGAAAAAAAAAGAATGCTATTAAAATTGTCTGAAAATATGGTGATTTGTATTTAATTCTCCACATTATCACCTTTGCAGGAATGAAAGTTCTGCTAAAGATCTCCTCAGCTATACTCAGAAGCATAATGGATACAATGTATCACTCTTCTTTAGGCAAGAGGTGGGCAACCTATGGCCCAAGGACCACATGCAGCCTCCCAAAGCCATGAATGCTGCCCCTTTGGCCATTCAAAAGTTGCTGCCAAACCATGATTCTGAATGTGACAAAAGGAGGATGTTCTTAAATTCACAAGGAGTAATTATAGAGACAAGAGTTATTTAATTTACTTTTATCCTTCCTTTATCCACTTCTTTCATCCAGCTCTACCCAATTTGAAATGCATGGCTCAATGGCCAAATGTAACCCTCAGTTTTATATTAGCTAAATATGCCACTGTATTGTAACCCCTGTATTAGGCTGAATGCACTCACCCTGCTAATGGAGAAGACAACACCAGGCTTGCCAGAACAGACCCCCATGAAGCAATGGCGAAATTGCCAATAAAAGAGATGTTCACAGATGAAGGTGATGAGGCTGAGGGCCATGGCTGCTCCCAACATATAGAAGACTCCTGCCATGTTGTCTATATCCAGCTGACTGCTCATTACCTCATTCTTCTCATTGTGGCAAATCCCAGTGAGCCAGAGAGCTTCCAGTTCCTCCATCTCCCCTATAAAACAGTTGGAAAGAAATGAAAGGAAACATGAAATCCATTTGTCTGTGTGTGTGATAATCAGAATAGTAGGGATTTCTATTTTTTTAACTGATTTTAATTTGGTAGTTTAAAGCATTCTTAATGACAAAAATGCTTTGTAGTCTTCATCCCTGTGACTCACAAAACTGCTTTTCTGAGATTATTCCCAATTTCCCATGAACTGAGGAAGCTTATGGTGACTTGCCAAATATTATTTGTGAACAAATGGCTAAAGGTGATCAAAGATTCAGGTCTGTGAGGTCACAGCTGAATCTGCAACCTGCTGGATAAGACTGGCCCTTGTGTTCATTTGTAAAGGGGCAGTGGCATAAGAGGTGAAGTGACTATGTTTATTAAGATCAGCTTGGATTCAGCTCTTATCTGGAACAAGAAAGAACTTAACATATCTCAAGGAACATATTATTACTCTCTATTATATTGGTAGGTTTAACTTATGGTAAATACAAACTTCCTCATTCCCCCCACCTTCTAAATAAAATAACTTGGTCATGCAACATTCAGTACTGTTCAGTCAGTCTCTTTGGCTGCTTGAATACACTCTGTATTACTTGTATAGTAGCACCTGTTTTGCTTCTTTTAAAAGGATCATAAAATTGCAAAACACGTGCAATACTTATTCTTTATATCATTCAATTCCTTATCATGTATTGAAGTCCAGTGCCAGATGGCATCTTTGCAAAGTAATGATCTCAAATCTGTGGTGTGGACAGCTACATTGGGAATGCATTTTGAGACATAATTTACCATTCCCATGATCCTCTGAACTTTCTGACATGTCAGTTTTGGTACATCTACAGTTGCTTTTCCTTTTGTCTGGAAAAAGGTCTGGTTTTATGCCATCTTTTATTAGTACTTCTCCCAGATACTGTATTTCTTTTAAAGTTCAAGATTTGCTTTTGTTCAGTTTTATATTTAAGGACCTGGGTTTTCCTAGTACCAGTTTTAACTGGTAATTGTACTCTTCTATGGTGATCCATACAAGAATGTCATCTGTGCATACCACTGTTGCTTGAATACCTACCATCAATTTTGTACGGTGTGATGAAAGATTTCAAGAACAGAACATAGCCCAAAGGAAATGCATTTAAAGCTGTATTGACTGTATACCATATTGGATTTACATTCACCTATGTATCTGGGTATGTTCCAAAACTGAGACTATGCATTCAACTCGGAAAATATCTTTGTGCCCGCCAGTTCTTGTATCAGGATGTGATAATGCTCTCTTTGAATAACTTGTTCAATTCTTTGGGGTCCAAGCAAATTCTCAGAAATCCATGTTTCTTGTAGACTATAATCATGTAATAAGCCCATTCCTCAGTATGGCAAATAATTATTCCTGTTTTCATTCTGTTCAGTTCAGCTTTCGGTTTTGTTTTCAATGCTGCTTGCATATTGTGCATTTCATGTGTATCTTTACTAAGAGTAATGTGATGAATTCTTGGAAGTTTCACAATATTATAAAATACATCTTCATGCTCAGCTCTAGCTCTCAAAATACTTTTTCATATCTGGTTAACTATGGAGGGTTTTTTTTCTGTAATAGTTCTATATTGATTGAGTCAACACAGTCAATAGTCATTTCTAAATTTTCAGATGTTTTTAGGACCATTATGGTTCTTCATGGATTTGATACTACTGTTTTTATATAATATAGAATGTATTTTTATTTCAACATGAATTCCAGCCACCCATTGTGGCCACTGGGTTCTCATTATATGATTGTAGACATGTGGTTATTGGATATAAGTCTGGCTTAGTCTTCAATTTGTTGTAGTCATGGTCAGCTGCTAGACTGACTTCTGCACCAGTACCAGTCACATAAACAAAGAGAATTCCATTAGTGGGTATTGTTTTAACCTTGCTTTCTTTCTCATGTCTCACCCTATTATTGTTGATTGAGCCTATCATTTTCTTTAGATTCATACTATTTTTAAAATTGTTTTTGTACTTTTGCACATTTCAGCCATGTGGTTATACTTTCTATATTTATGTCATTTTGGCCATACGTTGGACACTGTTTATAGGTATGCTTCATACCAGCTTTATTGTTTCCTACAGTTTGCCCTGTTTCCAAGGTTTTTTGCTTGCTGGTTCCTTTGTTAGAGCCAAAACCATATTTCTGACTACAGTCTGCTGGTCTCCTTCCATAAATCTTTATCACAGGTGATGGCAAATACCAGACTATGATTGCTACAGCTGTAATTTTCAACTGTGAGTGAGCAGCTTCTGCTACTTGGCTTATATCAGTAGCATTTTCTATGGACAAGTTCTCCCCTCTAAGTAACTGGTCATACATTCTCTTGTTTCTTATGCCCAAACTATTTGATCTTTGAGTATTCAGAAATTTCAACTGGTCCAGGCAGCTTTGGACATACCGCCATATGCCCACATAACACCACTGCTTCACAAGTTGGAAATATATCTGCACAAAGTCTGCATCAAGGGTCCATAATTTATTAAATCAGGAAATTACATGGAATGTTCAACCATATTTACTTTAAATATTGTGTTATATACACTCTATTATAAATAATAAACCACATCAAAATAGATAAAATTTATACAATCTGTCATGAAACCAGTTATATTTATAAGTATCCATTCTATACACAAATTGAATATAGAGTTAATTAAAATAATGTTCCACCATGCTTTCTAAATATAATTATTTTAGATACATAGACTCTTTAGATGGACAACTCTAGGTGTAAGTCAGGCAACTAGAGGTTTTAACAATCAGCCCTATCTTCCAATGTTTTCTCCACCTCTGCTAACACACCTATATTATTTGAATGACACTGACTGAAAGCAGTGATGATGCATACCAAACATTTCAAATGTATTCCTTATTGTATGTAACATACCAGCTTTCTTTTCCTCACCTGCTTCATAGACAGAGGGATCTCTCATCCCAGTGAGTTCATCAAGTGTTTAAGGGCACCGGTGCTTTCATTGGAGTTACTGCAGGCTATGCCCTACTGTCTCCCAGCTCACATTTTGCCTGGCCCAGCTCAGGAGAAAAATCTTCAAATGCAGTTTTGCTAACATGCTAGTTTATAACACTCAGAAAGCACACTACACCTACAAAGCTGATCTGGTACTACTGAGAGATTAATGCTTCTTAAACTTCTCACTGCACTTCCTAATACTTTAAGAAAGCATCTTGCCCTTGCAACTGCCTCTCTAGCAGTCTATCAGGAGGAATGTTCTGCAAACAAAGACAAATGCACACAAATACATGTTGCCAAAGGCTGTGGGATGCGGGGTGGGGACAGTTAGAAACTATTTTGTTAACTCATGGAGCACAGGAAGCCCTGTGGTAGTGCACTTGGCTATTGGCAAGTTTGAAGCAGGGAGAGTAAGTGCTCATTGACAAGCATTCAGTTATTGGCCAATTCTGGCTGAGCAATGTTTGGCTGAAGATTCTTGCTCATCAAGTTCCAAACTCCAAGTGCCCGCATAATGCCATGCTGAAAACATTTTCAAACTGCAGATTGTGAGGGCAAAATGGAGGAACTGAGGATTGGTTTTAAAGTGTATTGGGAATAATTTGCAATTGGAAAGACAGAAGATATGGCAGAAATTATTAACTTTAATAGATGACTAATCTTATTTATATTTATACCACATAAGGACATTATACCAGTCAGTTATTGCACATTTGGTCAGTATTCCATAAGTACAACCGAAACCCAGTTTTACTCCAAGCTTGTTGACGCTATTCTATGCTTACTACTTCTTACATCTTTTCTGTGCTTTGCATATCATTGCTCACTCAAAAAGGAATCAAATGATGGGTATATATGTATTTATGTACTGCCAGGGCTAGGAACAGATACTTGTTGGAGTTCCTGCCACATATGCCAAAATGATTTGACTGTCTTTGATGGTAATAGCAGTGTTTGCCTCTTAATGTCTTAATTCTGTATTCATAGTTACAAAATATCAATATTTATTTATGATAGTTTTATTTCATCCTCCCTCCTAACTTCTCTGGGTGACACTGGCATGCACATTTAGATAGTATAGTTTTTGTGTCTTTGAGATTTCCAAAATTCCTCTTAATGATATTTGTGACTGCAAGCCACTTTGGTAATTGCCACTGAAAAGTTGAACATAAATCTCTCATATAAATAAATGGCTATAAAACAAAACATTCACTATGATGCAGAGGGCCAGAGTCTTTGAAACAGTACTTTCTATTAGGTTTAAAACACTGGAAGTAATGAAGTAATATTAGTCCCTTTTAGTAAAAATACCATTTTTCTTCATTATCCAAATTACTCACCATCGCCAAAAAGCTGTAAAATTGCAAGATCCACTTGCCGCTTCCAGCCAGAATTCTTCTGGATGGCAATGCCGTAGCCAGTAGAAGCAAAGACCTTTCCACTGCCAATTGTCACTAGCTTACAGCCTTCATCTCTGCCAGCCATATAGTTTAGTACAGCAGCATCATAAATAAAAGCATCCAGTTTCCTATAGAATGTCAAGAAAAGAAAGAAAGAAAGAAAGAAAGAAAGAAAGAAAGAAAGAAAGAAAGAAAGAAAGAAAGAAAGAAAGAAAAAACAGAAAGGTCTATGAAAAATTAAACTGCTGTGTAGAAGTCAAGTGTGACCTCAGATGAGAGAGAGAGAGAGAGAGAGAGAGAGAATGAACCCCAGGT